GAAAGAAATTGATTTCAATTAGCTTCAGATCAAGCCTTAAAAGCTGACGCTGTCTAAGCAGGTTGTTGACTTTAAGCTTGGGTTTAAGTCTTATGCCTCCAGTGAGACTGAGAAGTTCATCATTTTTTGCCATAATGACCGGGTAATATTCTCCAAAGTGCCCACATGAATGTAGGTATTCTAAGACTGGAGCAAAATTTCAAAAGAAAGCAAAGGTGTGTCTTTTGTAGCATTTCCCTGTTTTGCAATGCTGCAGTTGTAATTGGAGATCTAGATTCTGGCAGCCCAGGCGATACGGGAGCATGTAGCTCCACAGGCAATCCTACCAAATTCAGGGTTATGACTATGGGGGAACTAACACATCCTGTCTCTGAACTTAGTCCTCACTTAACTTTTTTGTCCTCAAGAAAAAATATTAGATTGTTAATTAAAGCGTATTTTAATCTCAACATTTTTTGTCTTTCTTAACAGATGAAATAACTTATGTCTTCCGACTAGTTTTGCAATAGCTGCACCCATTTATTCTTTCATATTCTGTTAAAATACAGTTTATTTTTAAGAAAGGGAATACACACAGACTCTTGAAGTATTTTTAATACTATTAACTTGATAATAACTGATGAGCATACAAAGGGCTACTTAGAAATTTTTCCACTAAAGATCTTCCATTAAAACAAATAATCGAAATACAAACATTTTTTTAAATTCTAACAGTTTCTATTAAACTTCTCAGATGAGAGCCCAGAAGGAAACCTTGGGGAAATTTTGGGTCAGAAACATAAAGGAAGGAAAAGGAAAAAAGATGCCCCAAACAAACAAGGTCAATTGAGATGAAAGAAATGCACATTCAAATCCTCTCTCTTGATGCTTCAGAAAATAACCTGACCCAGAATATTTGCGTCCCAAGTAACCATGTGTCTATCTCCTATTTCAGATTTTACAAAACCGTCAAAAAGTCTTGTTTCTATCTCAGTGCAAAAAGGTTGGAAGTCTTGGCACCTCAAAAAGGTTGGAAAAATCATTTCCCACTCAGTTCATTCGAGAACTCTAAGTTTAGGTAAAAACAGGGTGAACAGGGGGTAGGCACTGCACTGGGATTTATGAAATGCCTGCCAAGTAACCTGCTTTTAACGCACACCAGAGAATAGCATTCCTTACTAAGAAGTCCTAATCAGCATCGTGCATTTTTAAGAATTTGCTCAAAGGCTTATGTTTTTTAAATGACCCTTACACCTACTCTGTTAATTACAAACTCCCATATAAAACTGACTTTTCTATGGCCTCACTGTGAAAGCTGCAGATTAGGAGCTAACCTTGTTTCAGACCCATGCATAAATTAAACAGCATGTGCTCCAAGTGCACACTGGTTTTAAAATGTGTTCTATAAAATGGCTAGTACTTAGAGCTTACAATGTGTACAAGACAACCATTTGAAGACAGAGATAAAACATGTTGCAGGGATTTTGTTTAAGAGATGCTAAAAGATCTAGGGAACAGTATTCATTTTAAAACCATTCCTTGACTGCTGCAAGAATTTGAATGCTACATGCTGAAGTTTCCAAAATTAACAGGTGCGTTTGTATACCCCACCTGGGGCATCTCAAGATGCTGATTTTCAGAAATTCTTTAACAATTTTGGCAAGAGAGACAGACAAGTAGACAAAATCACAAGTGATCCCAAAATACCCTGGCTTCAATTTCCTTCTGGATATTGACATTCAGGCAGAAGTGTTTCTCACAAAAAAAGTTAACCACCACCACCAAAGTTTCTCATGCAACTGAAACTCATTCGGTGAAAGGATTCTCAAGTCCCCAAATGGAATTTCTGAAACACATTTAAGAAACAAAGAGGGAGGGGGAAAAATCTCAGAGAAGCTGGGACATTTTGTTCTGCAGAGCACGAAACAAGCTTGTTCTGCTTCAGCGTCTGCTCCATTCCACTCTCTAGTTCTCATGTAAAAGCTCAGTGCTACAGTCTTGGAGAAACAATCCCAGCAGAACCAACAGAAAATTCAAAGTGGAGAGGAAACTTCAGCACATGGTAGAGCAGCTGAGTGCTAAGAACGGAAAAAAAACGGGCGCTTCATAACATGGTCCACATCCCAAAATCTACCTCTCTTCCTCCCCTCCTCTGAAATCTCAACTCTTCTATAGGGTAATGCTATCTTTTTACACACCTCTTATCCAATAACTTGCCCATATAATGCTAAATTTTATCTTTTACTCTGCTGCAATTCCAAGACAGTAACTTCCTATTGAAACTATATAGAGTGCCTACATAATTCTCCAGAATGTTCTTTGCTGTGGAGATTACAAAATTAAGTTTGTACTAATGGCAGTCCAACACATATTCAGGAGTAACACCGTAACTTCAGCCTCTGGAACTGAAGACTCCTAAAACATATTTTCAGGAGTCACAATTTCATAAAATGAACCTTGAAGCTGATAGAGAAACCTTGCTCATTTTAATTGATTTTGCATTGAGCTTAAATGAAAGGTCTTCACAGTCATTCAACAGGTAGAAGGAAAAAGTGCAGTCTTTTAAAGTCTGAGAGATGAAAACCTTTCTAAAATCAGAGAATAATAACATAGTTAACACTGGGTTTGTGATGCACAATATCCATAAAGGGGATTATAAATCTGAAAAAGAAGAATTTATTCCCATTGGAAAGCAATGAATAAAGTAATGCTGTGATGAAAATCATTATGGCCTGCTCAATGGCAGGAAATACTCACTTTCTGGTTAAAGAACAGACAACTGTCATGGAAAACATGCATCAGGTAGACTGAGCTAGTAAATCTACCCATTACAGAATGAGAGACTCAAGTATTGAATTTACTGTGCTAGCAAGCAGTGGCAAAGGGATATTGGTCCTGAGAGATGCTGTTGCCACCCTTGCTGAAAAGACAATTAACAATCATCTCCCTCACAGGACCACCCTGGCCTCGTCTCCTTTCCATGACAACTGTGCAGCAGAAATGTGTTCTTGCCTTTTTCCCACAGGGACAGGGCAGAGCTGATTGCACAAGAACATCGATTGAAAAACAGCTATAAACTTCACCTAACCCTGCTGTAGAGAGGTATATTCCTCACTCTGCCAAGCTTTGCCCCACACCAGCATATCCGGCTGTTTCTGTGTACCACACTCCTCAGGTTTCTGCCCTCACCTCACGGGAGTACAAATGCAAGGGAGCAGACATCTGTCAACACAATCCTGCACCCTGAAGCAGATGCAGCACCACTGGCAACCTGAAGAGTAAGTCCCATGAGCAGAAATAAATCAGACTACAATATCAAGATGAAAAACTATCCCCAAATCAGGCCTGACAACATCCACTCTATTTACCAGCAAAGAAGAGATACAAACCAACCCGAATTAGCATTGTCATTCCTTCTTAAACTGCTCTCTCACCCCCTGTAGAACTAATGGCAAATTCTTTGCATTTGTCTTGCTTTCAGATCTGATCTTTAAAATGATGCACAGCGAATAGTAGGTGGGAGGGGGTCCCTCTAAGCCACATCATGTGCTTTATGGAGACAAGCCAAGGAGCTACTTAGGCAACCATTAGGTTGGGAAACAATCACTTCCATCATTCCCAACACGTGTGTCAACATAATTCCATGCTCCCTTTGTCATGCAAAAAGTCTTGGCAAAGTGACCGGATATATCCAGAAAGTAGGAGCAAACTAAGCTTATTATGTTAGCCGGAGATCTCACAACATCCTCCAGTGCTATAGAAGGAGACTTCCCATATTTTGCAGTGTAGGAAAGGAACCTCACTGCACTGAAAGGGCCCAAGCGAAGCCCAACTTCAGAAGTGTATAAGGGAGATTATAGTTGGGTTTCGTGGAAAGGATCCCTCGTCTGACAAGCACAAGAGGCTGTGTCAGCAGTGTGATAACAGGCACTGCAGAAGGTATGACACCTCGCATAACTGCAGAGACTTCCCTCTCCTGTGTGCTCGCTGGAAGCATTCCAGCCGTGCTAATATGGTTCTGCAAAAGGGAAACTACTGCCAAATGGGAGTATCAGCTTCTCTAACCCTTTATTGTTGTCATTGCTAACTCTGGACTTTGTTTTCTTTTTAAAGGAAGATTCAGTGCATTTTACAACCCTTAAACATCTTTTCTTATCTCCAGCTATACTTAAAATTCTTACTAACAGCAAAAGGCCTGTGCACATTGTAATGGCTGGCAATACTACTCTAATGGTTTCTTTGCATGGTCAGGTACAAGAAGAAGGCCGTCCAATCTGTCTGAAATATGCTCAATACATCTTTGATGCTCTAGCAACTGTAAAGATGTAAATATCCCAGAGCATAAGCATTTATTTAAAGATAAGCAGCTGGGGCTTTCATTAACAATTTTTGCTGCATCTTTCAATTCCAGGTTCAGTGCTGTGGGAGCAAAGTCCTAATATTGCTGGTGGATATATGCAAGCAATTTTCAGAGTTTAGCTGCTTTGCCTCCATTCTGCCAGCGGTAACATACATTTTTTAACCCATTTTGCCTCCAGAATGCTAGCAAGTCCAACCTTGCTTTTAGTAACACATTCAGAAAACACAGCTCCTCAGCATTCTGTGTTCACAAAGGTCAACAATGGCTAAAAATGAGGATGGACAAGAATAGTAAAAGCTTCTCCTACATATTGCTGACATCTCTAATGAAAGCTGAGGATTTCTGTTGATTGTTGTGTTTAAGCCTGCATCAGTCACACTACATGCTTTGCTCCTTAAGATGCCAGATTTTTTGGTAGATCCTGTTACCACCCAAACACTCAAGAATGAAGAGCAGAGAGTGCTGTCCAAATGGGGAAGTGTAGACGAGCCCTTTCCCCAGCATTATCATTGAAGCAGGAATAAGCATCTAGTTCTGTCTTCTCCCTGCTCCACCACTCTGGGTAAATTTACACAATACAGCCCTCTGAAAATGTACATCAAATATTACAGAACAGTCGTTAGCAAGTCAAATAAAACAAGAGAGTAAAAAGTGAACATACCTGAATAAGAGAAACGTTGTGTAGACTAAGTCTGAAGAGGTAGTTCCTGCATGAACAAGCAGAAAAATTACAAACTGTTAGGCTACTGAAGAAGGATGGGAAAAGTTATAAAAGCAAGTCACAGTTTTTGGTCATTCATTTCTACAAACAACAAGCCTTTCTTGGACTCCTCTCCACAGAATGCAAAAATAGTTATATTCTCCTTGTTCATCAGTGTCTCGTTGAATATCGTAACAAAGCTCTGAGCAGGTCTGGAATAAAACATTCCAGAACCCATAATGAAGAACTACAATGAAATCGAAACAATGCAGGGACAATTTGCAAATCCTCAAAGGTCAAGCTTTAGTTGAAGTCCCGTATGGACTGGACTCATGTTCTTCTCTGCCTTCTGAGAAAACTGGACTTGAACAGAAGCCAGCTGGAGCAAAGTTGACTCCTATAGTACATTCACCCCAAGTTTGTCCTTATGGGTACGCCCATTGAGGACTTTATGGAAAAGGAGAAGAAGAGGACAGATACTTCTCAGCAGAATCTCTCTGCACAGAAAACTAGCAGGGAAATCAAGGCAGTGACTGCAAATACTCCCAATACTCCTGTCGTAGCATCTCCACAGGCAAAGCAAAGGAATTCCTGACAGAAGTCACTGCAGCATGAGATACAACACATCCGCTAAGGCACTGTAACCCTCCCTCTGCATGTTCATATCACATTGCAAATAGGAGGGAACACACATTTGCATAAACATCTATGGATGAGGCTTAGTTAACAGGATTTATCTTACCATTTTGCTTGCTGAGACAATGCAGTTACCAGGAATAAAATGACTTATTAAGCCATACGGACTTGATTGTGTGCTTGAGGGTTTTCGGCATGGCTAACTTCATACTTTTGCATCCCATCTGTCAGGGGCTTAAACAGCTGTGATCCTTTTCCAACATTCCTGTCATGACAATCTCCCAGAGAAGGTACTTTTATATTATACCAGGTGAACTACGTTTTTGGATGTAACTCTATTTAAATAGTAGGAAGTGCAGCTTTGATGACATAGTTTCACCTGCTGTAAGAGTGCCGGTATTCAGACATTCCACTACCTGGTAAAAACGCCAAGTTTCAGTCTTAGGTCACTAAAGTCAGAGAAATTGGTGAAAAGCTCCTATAGTGAGGAAAAGGTCCTAAAGACTCTCCTGAAGAGCCTTGTTTAGGGTCTGTAGCCAGCAGCGCACTCTGCCCAAGCAAATTAAGTAACTCAAACTTCAACATACAAGAGATTCATGTTGGGTGACAATGCTGCAAGGCATGGGCAGTTTTTCCTTCTTCTGTTATCTCTCACTTGTGTATCACCTCACCTAAGTCATAATCAGAGTAGCGTGTATACTCTGACTCAATTTATGAATAAATCAAAAGGTCTCAACTGCTGCTGACTGTCAATAAGGATGGGAACAAGGATGATGGGGAACTTAGGAAGTCAAACTCCTGGTACCAAATCTTCACTTGATGCAGCTGTGATTTGCACCATCCTATTCTGTATTGGGACTGGTTACCCAGAGAAGAATAAGACCCATTAGCAATATCTCAACAAAATATATCAGTAATTATTATATGTCATGTAAGTATACAGAGAAGTACACACACACACAAAACCTCTACCTTCTCTCCTAGTCCTGTCACTGGAGATCCAGCAGTTCTTCTGTACGGTGTCTCAAAGGGCTGCATACTTTCCCAAATAATTTATTATTAACTCTTTAGCACTACAGACTTAAATATTATGTCCTGCAGGTGCAGGCAGCAGACCAGAGGCACTAAGCTAACACACAGCTAAAATTTCAAAATGGAGTGGCTGATCTGACTGTTCCTTTAGAAAAGCACATGGTTACTCTCACCAAAATATTAATGCAACTTCAGGACAGGAGACATCATGGAACAAGCCTTCTCCCGGAGAAGTTAAGCATGTCACTGGTCTCCAATCTTACAACACCCTAAGGAGAAAGGTCTCATAACTAGGGACTTGAAGTTGCTATCCTGTTGTTAAGCATGCTATTTAAATGCATTGATTTTGGAAGTCTTAGAATGCAGATTTGAGCTCTTTGTTTTAGTCTGGTAAAAAGCTGGATAGTTTGAGTAATAAATTTTAATATTAGGGATTTTTTTTCCCTGATATCACTGTACAGCAAATTCAATTAAAATATCCTTAATGGAAAAGATGTATCTAAAGGACACAATTTTTGTTGCACTCAGTCAAAACAGATGCAGACAGGAATAGTGTCCATTTAAAGAAAGCCAGTCTCTGTCCTCGGTGACTGCTGTGTAGTGCCTGGACAAAGCCACTCCTGTGGCTGAGACCTAAACCAAGCAGGAACGTAGCACTAATGTGGAAAGCTCAATGATCTTCCAAAGGCATCATGTTAACCTCAGCTCTCTCTTACCTTGTGTCTTTCTTACAGAAATAGGGCTTCCCTACATTTTTTATCAGCTTGCCTCACCTAGTGTGTGCACAGCCACTGGCAGTTTCTTTTGGTTTGATCCTTCTCATATCTCATCAGTAGTAATATAAACACTGGTAGGCCAACCAGGCTATCAGAGGCACCACCAGACTCCAGTTGACCTGCCCAGCTAGAACTGACTAATCCTTAGTTAATAACATGCTCTTTTAGCCATACTTCTGTAAAACGATACCGGGAGTAAAAGGCCAAAGGGAAAGATCTGCTGAATAAGACAGTGCCATTTTAATGAACTGCATTTTAACTGCAATTTCAGTCCAAGAATGAGCAAGGTTTCTGAATGATGGGCATGGTTTATTGTACCTTGAATTGCCCCATTTGTGTCCTTTTTTCTGCTTGTGTTTGAAGTTATGTCTGTTTAATACCTTGGTGACCTATAATTTAAAGCAGCTGAAAGAGTAGGATTAAGAAATATGAGAGAACACTGAGATCTCTATATGAATGGATGAGGTGTCTTCTTGGTCTACTTTTCTTTTTTTTTTTCCCCTCCCATTTTGTCTTGTAAGTGAACATTGGCTAATTCCTTCCTCTCTTAAATTAAACCCATTTGGACTAGAACAGAAGAGAGATTGCCTGATGCAACCAGATATTCTAATAACTTCCTTTCCTGTATAAAAAGCTGGTGCACAAACTTGGAGGGATAGGACAACCTTCTCACTCACTTTCTGTCCTAATGAAACGTCACTCACTATGGTATTAAAACTCACTATGGTATTAAAACACAAGCTTTGTTTCATCCCAGAGCTGGCTGCATTTCAGCCATCTCCAGAGCAAGCGGCTATGGTCCTCCAAGTACTCTGGGACAAATGGTATTATACACATTAAAAGCTGTCTCAAACTGCTGATTATTATTACTACTTTCTTATTCATGAACATCAGTGCATTTCTGAAAAAGGCCACGTTAAACAGTAATGCCCTGAAGTGTCAGCCAAGACTATGGTTTTGTTGCATTTAGACACAACGTGGGTCGATGGTGGTTCCTCTGGAGCCTGAATCGCAGCAGATGCCTATTTAAACAACCTGCGAGAGTGGTTCCTCTCTCTGTCACCTCTCATTGCACGGGGATATCATCCTCCAGCTCAAATATATGAAGCTAGCTGCTCTAAGACCCTCATGCTCTATACAACCTGGTCTTGAAAAATTTGCTATCTACACATATACAGAAGAGTGAAAAAGATACATTGTTCTCACTGAAATTTGAAGCACAGATTGACCAATTCCATCAATGTCACAGAGTGTATCTATCTGCAGCACAATCAGGAGCTGATCTCTTGGTCCCTTAGTCTATGCCCTGGTTAGAAGAATAACCTGCCCCTGAAGTTGGGGCATCGCTTGTAAACCTGTGCTGAAGTGCCATTTACACTCATGGAAACTGGGTAGATGTTGAATTACTTTCCCAAACTGGGCCCTCTATGCTAGTCTGCATACAAAGAGAGCCAAGCTGCAGTATAAATCCTGTCAATGTAAGTATTTGTTAATTGGCTTCGCAATTTGTATTTGGCTGGCTTGTAAAATGATTAAGTGCTCACCGTGCCTGGTACCACAAAGCATATGTACCAGAACAGCAGGAGAGCAGCTGAGATGTGTTTCAGGAAAGGATGGAAGAATATATCCACTCAAATCTGCTTGCCATGACATTCCCAAGTCAAAGCTGCTTATTAAGTGTTTATTTCATATAGCCAAGTGCACCTTGGATGAACTCTGTAACATGATGCCCATGCACTTGTTCACACATTGCCTGGCCTTGAAACAATTTACAAGGAAGGCAAAGTACTTCGTCTGCGATGCCACTGAGCAACAGAGCTACAAGACAAATTAAACATTTCCAATGGGAAGCCACAAGAGTGCTTGAATAATAGCAGAGACCCTTCCTCTTAGGAGTTCCAAAATTATAAGGGTTGCAACATACATCAGACACTTGTTCAAGACTCTTTTTCAGTGGCTCTTTTCAGGCACTACATCTGTCAGCACTCTGCTGACTGATTAAAAGGTGCTTCCTTCTAATTAAAAGAGAGCATGCTTTACAGTCCTGCTGTGGTAGATCAGGGGGGACATTCCTGCAGTCAATGGACTGAATGGGTGCAAACGAAAGGCTACGGTAGTTTCAGAATCTTTTTTCTATTCAAACGAGTAAGGTTCGTTTATATTTCCCAACTCTGTGCCCCTCCCCACATACCAAACAAGTAAAATTACCCCTCTGTACTTCAGAACAACCCTGCTAGCAAATCAGGAGCCATAAGATCTCCAGTGCTGACCACCACCAGAACCTCTGAGGATTTTGATATGCACACAGAGACCAACAATACACTGCTTTATCTCAGCTGGTCTGTATGACTACAAGACAGGTACACCTGCTTGTGTGTTGCTACTTGCCTGTACCTTATAGTAAGTGTGAGAAGCTTGCCCCTCCCTCATTACAGGGCAGGCTATCTTTGTACAGAGACATTTACCCTGCAAATAGAAAGAAAGCCAATAGAAGCTGATAATAATGTTTGATAATGAAGAAAAAAAAAAAAAGAAAGAAAGAAAAAAGAGTTTAGGAAAAGCT